TAGAGTACTAAATTCAGCCTTGAAAGACTCACCAAAGTCTGAAAGTAACTTCTGAAAACCATCCAAAGATGATGCATGATCAGAACCCTGAGTACCATGAGAAGAGCTAGAAGATTGAGCTCTCGAGTCAGGTACGGTGGTAGAAGGAGCTACTGCAGGAGTCAAAGATACTGCTACGGGTGGAGCAGGAGCTAACGGTGGAGCAGGAGCTAAAGGTGGAGCAGTAGCTACCCCAGAACCATAGAAATTGTCCCTATAAGACCAAAAACCAGATTGGTTTGGCATAAACCGACCATAAGGGTAAGACTGTGGCCAAGGTGGCTGAGACCATGAGGGTAAAGGTTAGGTGCCCGAGTTGGGAAGCATATACCCACAATAGGATAATGGGGGTCTAGAACCTGGCAAGTTCAAGCCCATAGCTGTACCTGGGACAGAACCAATAGTACCCGATGAATTAACAGGCCTAGATAAAGTATGAGTCACCGAAGTTGACGTAGGTACCACCCCCCCCCCCCCCCCCCCCCCCCCCCCCCCCCCCTCAAAATGCATGGCCGAACCTTGTGAAAGGGTCGGATAGGTAGCATTACCAGACACCATTGTCGAAACTCCGGTCAATGTACTGGTAGTTTGGGGGGACTTAAAGGTAGTGACCCAAACACTTCTCTGTTGAATCTGTAATAATTTGTGTGACCGATGTCACAGACGAGATGGAAATTGAATGGGCTATTCCAGAAATAATCCATACCCCCCCCTATAGAAGGTTAAGGAATTCCAGAAAAAAAATCTGTAAAAACCTCTGGTTTTCCAGAAAAAAATCTCTTAGTCGCCAATAATTTCCAGAATATATATAAAAAATTCGAAAAAATATTCCAGGGAAAAAAATGAGAATAATAAGAAAATTTCCAAGAAAATATCCCTTGGTAATAAATATTTCCAGACAAATTCAACTTTCAACACTAAATTTCCAGATAAAACATTTTCATGAAGCATATATACTTTTTAATATTGTTTATATTGTATCATACATGTAGATGATTCAGATCAAACTGTTCATTCAGTGTATGCTTACTTGTTTTTGTTTAAATGTCTTTTTGATCTTTATTGATTTTTATAGTGGTTTTTTTTATATTGTATGTTACACTACAGTTAGGGTGAAGGTTGGCTCCTCTTATAATGTTTAAAACTGCTGCATTTTTATGCACCTGTCCTAAGTCAGGTACCTGTTGTTCAGTGGTTGACGTTTGTTGGTGTGGTACATGTAACTGGTTCATATGTGTTTCTTGTTTCTGGTTTTTCAGTTAATTTTGGGGCCCTTTATAACTTGTTGTTTGGTGTGAGCTTAGGCTCTATGTTTTTGACCTATAATTGTTAACTTTTTAATTGATACACTGTGATTTGGATGGAGAGTTGTCTCATTGGCACTCATCATGCTCATACCACATCTTCTTATTTATATCAACTTATATATTCATGACATTGTTTTTAAAGTTATAAGATGACTTAAAAGCTCATTAGAGCTTGTTTTTTTTGTAATACATCATCTTAAACAGTTATTAATGATTATAATTATCTTTATTTAACAGTCAATAGACCTTATCGCTATTTGGGAATCTGCAACACTTGACCTCACAATTTGCGATACTTGGATTTCCAGAATTTTTTCTTAAAACAACAGCATAATCATGATATTTATAAATGATATTTTTCTTTTTGTTAAAAATGGTAGTTTATATAACTATGCAGATGACAATACTCTGTCTTTCTGTACTCCAGATTTTGATTTATTAATTTCAACTTTGGAATCAGAGTCAAAAATACTTATTGAGTGCACGTGGTTCCGGGTGAATAAAATGCAAATAGAAAAGGTGCAGGAAAGAGCACTCCGTTTTGTATATGAGGATTTTACCAGCCCCTACAAGGACCTCTTACTTAAAGCTAAGGTGCCCTCCTTGCAGATCATACAGATTAGAACAATGGCTCTAGAAACTTTTAAGATTATAAATAATATAGCTCCTGTGTGCTTACAAAATTTGGTGAGTGTAAAAAAATTTAAGTATTCTTTCAGGTATGTAAATATTCTGGATGTTCCACAGGTAAAGTCAACCCGTTATGGTAAAAAATCTTTCAAATTTGCTGCCGCTACTTTATGGAACAGCCTTCCAATCCATTTCAGGACTGAAAATAGTTTTTCACATTTTAAAAGTCTTGTTCAGTCCTGGAACGGTTTGGAATGTTGCTGTTTTGCTTGCAGATAATTCTTGAGATGTTTATTATTTATGTTGCTTTTGCATAGTTGCTCTGGTCTAGCATGTTTTATTTCATTTTAAATTTGTTGCTAAATTTTTATTGCATGCTATGTAAGTGAGATTTAACTTTGTATTACAGGTTGTTTTATATGTCAAATTAGACTATTTTTATGTTATGTATATGTTTTTATATTCGGTCAAAAGCTCCTTAGAGCTTGTGTTGTGTCTTTTAACTTATGCCGAATCAAAATAAAGTTTTCTTATCTTATCTTATCTTATCTTATGATAATTTTCCATGGAATATTTTTATTTATCTATTTGCCTTCTATAGGACCGACATGGAATTCCAGATTTTTTTCTGAATCACATCCAGAATTTTCCATTGATTTTTTCACAAACAACATGTACCTTCTATAGCCAGTATAGGGGGTATGGATTATATCTGGAATAGCCCAATGGGAATGTTGCTGTTCTGCTTGCAGATAATTCTACAAATACAGTGGCTAACTATTTTAATAACTTTTTTACAACTATAGCGGATAATTTAGTATCAAAATTACCACCAGTTCCAAAAGTGTTTGATATCAAAACAGACATATTTAAAATTTTTTATAAAAACAGACATATTTAAAAAAATTTATAACACTGTTAAGTGTAACGATTTGAGTTTTAAATTAAAACCTGTGACTGAAGAATAAATTTTTAAACATTTACAACAACTCAATCCAAGTAAAAGTACTGGATTAGATGGAATACCATCAAGGTTTTTAAGAGATGGCTCGAGTATTTTAGCAAAGCCAATTACATATATAGTTAATTTGTCGATAACTTCAGGCATAGTACCTGATGAGATGAAAACAGCTAGAGTGTGTCCTATATATAAGAAAAATAGTAGGTTGGATGTCGGAAATTATCGACCAGTTAGTATTTTAGTAGTTGTTTCTAAAATTGTTGAAAGATCAGTATATTCACAACTTGAGAAATATCTGGTAGAAAATGATCTACTTTATAATTTACAATCTGGTTTCAGATCTGCTTATTCCACAGATACATGTCTTATTCATTTGTTAGATCATATTAAAAATGAATCTGCTAAGGGACTCTTTACTGGAATGATAATGTTAGATTTGCAAAAAGCCTTTGACACGGTCGATCATCATATATTGTGTAACAAACTACAAATAATGGGTGTCAAATGTACTAAATGGTTTGAATCATATTTATGTAATAGACAACAAAAAGTTAGTATTAATGGTACTGAATCTGATTTAAGATATATTACATGTGGGGTACCACAAGGGAGTATTTTAGGACCTCTATTATTCTTATATTATGTTAATGACATGTCTATAAGTATAAGTAAAGACTGTAAAATTTTATTATATGCTGACGATAGTACCATACTATATTCTCATAAGAACCCAGAAGTTATATCTGAGAAACTGGGTAAGGAACTTGAATCTTGCAGCAAATGGCTTATCGATAATAAATTTTCACTTCATTTGGGGAAAACAGAAACTATTCTGTTTGGGTCAAAACGTAAATTGTCTAAAATTCGTAACTTTGATGTTACTTGTAATAATCACACAATTTCATCTCAAAATTGTGTCTAATATTTAGGCCTGAATATTGATAATTCTCTTTCTGGAGAAAAAATTTTAAATAATATTATTCAAAAGATAAATTCAAGATTGAAGTTCCTATACAGACAGGCCAAATGTTTATCAGAACAATCTAGAAAGACTTTAGTTACAGCTCTAATTCAATGTCATTTTGACTATGCCTGTTCTGCATGGTATGCTGGTGTCAGCAAAAAATATAAAGATAAGTTACAAGTATTACAAAACAAATGTGTTAGATTTATAAAAATACATGTACTGGATATAGATCAAAAGTTGACCATAATGTATTGAATAGTATTGGTTATGTTAATATTGAAAATCGTGTTAAACAATTGAGATTAAACCATGTTCATAATATCTATTACCATCATTGTCCTAATTATATGTATACAAATTTTACAAAGGTGAGACATCTTCATCATCAATTCACACGAAATAGTGAATATAACTTCTGGGTTCCACCAGTAAAGAGTCAACAAAAAGATACATTTTATTTTAATGGCATACAAGATTGGAATATGTTGCCAAATAATGTTAAAAAAATAAAGAAAATAAAGGATTTCAAAATTAGTGTTAAAGAGTACTTGACCAAAAGTTATAGTGCGGCCTCATCAGACTTCTTTTTATATTATTTAACTCATTTTTTATTCAAATTATTCTTATATGAATTTTTTATGTCATATTAATTTGTGTGATATCTTTTTTGTATGTCGAAACTATAAGCCGTTTACATGAAGGGACCCCATTGGAAACAAGCTTTAAAGCTTTCATGGGTTATCCCTGATAAAATATCAGCAATTTTTTTTCCATGCAGTTAAAGATTATCTTCACTCATAAAATACCATTATATTTTACAAAGTATGTGTTAGTAATGTCTTTATGTATCGTATATATTGAGTATTGTATTAACTCATATGCTTGATATTTTATTGAATAAAATATTATTATTATTATTATTATTATTATGGGAGAATATGGGCAAACAGGGGTATAATGTCCGGACCAGTGAGAGTACGTTTATTTTTAGTCGGGATTTTCCATCTGACCTATGACGCAATTGGGGTTACATACAGAATTTAGATTTAATGATGGTAACGTATTTATAGCTATAAAATTAAATGGACTACCGTACCAATTTTCTTTCACAGGGCGCAGCCATTTTTTAGTGTATTCCTATCGAGCGTTTTGATTGGTCGTCTGCTCAGCTTATCCAATGGCTAGTGGTTTTATTAAATGTAGAATAAATAATAAACAAATGCGGTCATATTACCTCAGGAATGACAGCAATCCTAACTGCTATACAATTACATCATTTCAAGGAGTAAATATGTGTTGACAACTCTTTTAAAAGAAGAAAAATTAAAGCTTTCCAAATATTTTATTAGTCTGTTTTGGGCCAATCTAGTCTTAATTTATATATTCTTATTCATAAGATGTAAAACATTCCACAGAAAAAAATTTGCAAACAGGTGCTTTGGTACAGGATTTGGATTTTTAAATATGCATATTTGATTGCACGGAATATTGAATTTTCAATATTTACACTACATTTTAACACTACAATTAAAAGTATTATTAGTTTTCCTTGTTTTGTTTGAGTTTTATGAGCTCTGATAAAATCCCTTATACTATCCAATTTATCTTGTGAGACAGTTAAATTCGTATGAATAAAAGTATGCCAATGAGAAACATAGTAACAACACACAAAAATTAGGGATCTTGATATGATATTGAACTGGTGTATTTTCTTCAACTGTAGATCAAAGGATGTATTGTGAAGGCACTAGAATAAAGCTCCATTTTGAAATTCCTACCTGAGACTACTATAACACATGTGTTATAGTAGTCTCAGTTCCTACTAATGAATGTATGTCTATGGTTATTCTTTAATTTGTCAAAGGATGGTGTAAGAATGAATTTTGCCCAAAACTTTAAATGAGAAATATGATATTAAAATTAAACTTTTATAGCAATCTAAAGCTTTTACTAAAAAGCATACATCAACGACTGCAATGGACAGTCACAGAGAACATCCAAGAGTCTTAACTGTACACCGTATTTTTATGGATGAAAATACGATTTTTTTTTAATAGGAAACCATTATAAGGTATGAGTAATACAATTTACTTGTCTCTCTGATACCAAACATCTCCTTAAAATTCATATTTTATTAAATTCTCTGACAGTCACATGCAGGATTTATTTGAACTTGACCAACATTGACTATCATTAGAGTATCTAGTTTAAACCTATATATAGGTTTAGCTAGCTATAAAACCAGTTTTATTTTTAACTCACCATTTTCTTCAGCCGCCACACCCCCACCTGAATCCGCCCCTGGATCCTATATAAATCAATATGATCCAAAATTATTCCTGTATACTTTTATGTCTGTTTGGCAGGTTTCATCTGACCTTAAACTTATTCATGGTTCATTGGATTGTGGTTTGATCAATATCTCAGATACTAGAAATAGGGCAATTATATTTTGAGTATGGAAGGATTGTAAGGTGAAATTGTCCATCTTGCATGTTTCATCTGATCTCAACCAATTGTTCATTGGTCAATGTTAAGTTTTCCTGGTTTTGTCTGTTTATATGATACTATAATTAAGCAATAGGTCAACTATATTTGGTGTTTGGAATGATTGTAAAGTGTTCATGTCTGACTGGCAGGGTTCACCTGAACTTGGCCTCATTTGTCAATAGTATGCTTTCATGATTATGCCTGTTTCTTAAATACTTTAAGAAATAGGTCAACTATATATAGTGTATGGAATGATTGTATAGTGAACATGTTGTCTAGCAAGGTTAATCTGACCTCAATCTAATTTTTATGGTTCGTCAGTCATGTTCAGTTTTTGTAAAAGGTCTGTTGTACATATCCATCTGGCAGGTTTCATCTGACCTTGACCTTTTTTCATGTTAATTTATGTGGTTTGGTGGATTTCTCAGAAACTACAAGCAATAGGGCCACTATATTTGATGTACAGTATAGTTTTTAAGTGTACATATAAAAATAAGAAGATGTGGTATGATGATTGCCAATGAGACAACTCTCCACCAGAGACTAAATGACATAGAAGTTAACAACTATACGTCACTGTATGGTCTTCAACAATTAGCAAAACCCATACTGCATAGTCGGCTATAAATGACAAATGTAAAACAATTCAAAAGAGAAAACTAATGTCTTGCAGGATTCATCTGACTGACCTCTTTCACATGGATCATTGATCATGTTAAGTATAAAGGATACTTGTAGTAAATCCTTCATATTACAGACATAAATACAATCATGATAAGCAAAGTGGCGAGACATTTCCACCTGTGCACTCTTGTTTTATTGTGTGCTTATTTACTTAAAGACATAGTTTAGATGGGCAAAAGGGGGAGGTTTGTGTGTACAGAATACATGTTTAACTCCACTACATGTGTGCAAATATTAAGCCACCTATCTGGACCAATCTGTGGTTGTTGATGGTCTTTCTTTAAACATCATTTTTTTTTTAGGGGAGTTTAGCATTTGTGGTTGGTGTTGTCCAAAATGTTTTGTAACTCATGTTATCCTTTAAATCTATTACTTTTATATTCAGTTTAGAAATAAGATTGAAAAGAAACTATATCGATTCTAAAATGAGACCACAGTAAGTATATTTGTATGGTCTATGACCTTGAAATTAGACTTGTAAAATCAAATAAAACAAAGTGTCTGTCTCTTCCTAAAAATATATTGTAACATGTAAGGACAGGTTTGAAAAAAAGGTGATATGTGGACTATGTCAAAAAGACAGAACCCAAAATCACCAAAAAACAAAAGTATTCAGGATAATGATGGATTATGGTTGGTCATCTCAACGAGATTGATGTTCTCGCTTGAGCTGGTACGGCGAAAGCGAGAAAAGCAATCGAGTTGAGATGACCAATGATAATCTGTTTATTGCTATTTTACCTATGATGACGTTGTTTATTTTTATTGACAACGGCATGTGTGCCCTTAGTTTCTAGCGATAATTTTTCATATCACTCTACTGTGCTGAGAAAGGAAATTATCAGTCAGTAAGATCAAAGGAAAATTTTGTAAAATAGCAATAATAATCATTATAGATCATGTTTGACAGTTACAAATTTTAAAAGCTGGACATTTGGGGTGCTTTTGAAACTATCCTATTTTCTCCTTTAATTCACTGGCATATCAAATATCATTGATTTGCCATTAGTGGTTCCCCTGAAACTGACCTAATCACAAACTTAAACAAATTGTTGACACTGCCACCACCTGAAACAGCATACCTAAGTCTCGCTTTTTGACTCTGTCAAGGGGAGAAAAAAGATGGATAAAAGGAAAATAGATTGAAGTGCTAAGTTTCTTGCAGTGACAAACAATAAAGAGGAAATAAAATTAAATTCAAGATTTCTAAATCTGTATTTTGTATAAAATATAGTATACCGACAGTTCTATAAAGCATGTTAACAATGATAAGTGGTGGGTCTTCCTAATCTAAATGAAATGTACAACCCACTGTTTGTTCTCAACAACATAACCTATACTTAATAAAACTTCAACAATCATACATACCATATATATATATATATATATTACAATACAATTTGTACAACAGTATATTTTTTTTTGCAGATTTCTTCAGGATTTCTAATTCTTAGCAGTATCATAGTTTTATTCCATCAAAATAAGATTTTTGGTGCTCAAAGATTTTTCACATACATGACAATTCTCCCTATTAAAAGGAGATTCTCCAATTAACATTGAATCTCCCTCTGCCCTTTGAATGTTATTTTTAAAAACATTAATACAAAACTACTTGAAATGAACAATCTTAAGACTGGATTTATCACCCATGGTCCTTTAATATAAACCTAAGAAAGTATGACTTAAGATCGTTTGCTTACAATAACATTTTGTCTATTTCCAGATATTTTAATAACAGATTTCATGAAGAAAAGATAGTGTGTACAATGTTTTTAGATATCTAGTTTGTTTTCATAAAAACACATAAATTTTGTGGTGAAAAATAAATGAAGGGCATATGATAGGTTTTTACTCTAGGGCCTTTCAAATAATAGAAATACTCATAACATTTTTAAAGGTGGAAAAATAATACGTACATATTTTTTTTTCTTGATAAGCTGACAAAAGTAATTAGTTTTGACTTTTACTTAAATGTGGGAAATATCAAGACATGCAAAACCATGAAAATTTATAACAGACTGTTTGTTCATATAGTCAGATGTAAACTATTTAATGGTTATTGTATGCTCTTTATATTGACAAGTCTAAAAAATTTGAAAGTCAATAAAAACTGTATGTATTTTTTCAAAAAAAGAGTATCAGTAGTTTTTTTATGACTCATGACATCATTAATGTGGGTACCTTTTTACCGGTACTTGATGTTTTTCAACTAACAAATGTACAGATTTCAATAAAATATGAAAAATTTAAAAAAAACAAACAAAGGTGGTACCTTTTTGTTGAGCACTGTCTTAAAGTTGAATAAGATATAAATAGACATTTTTAAAAATAAAAATACAAATTTAAGTCAAATTAAGGAAAATAGCACTTGTAATGCACCTTGTTCTTCATACAAAATCTGGTCAAGTCCATTGCATAAAACCTATTCTAAAAAGCAATTTCAAAAGATCATGAGGAGGTATTTTCTTGCAGCAAATCAGCTAGTTCTACATTCCATAATAGGAAAAGCTCATATAAAAAAAAACTGCTTCGCTGAGCGCAGCTGGGTACGCCCGCAGAGGTCCAACCCTGAACAGTTGGGGCAAAAATGGACACAATATTCAAGCTTGATACAGGTCTGAATTTGGATTGTATTAAATATTTGACATATTATGGTTTCTGAATAAATGTAGTCAAAGAACTTGAAATTGGTTATATGAATTGATTTTTTTTCAATTAAGATTTCTTGCTGTTGTGCAATACACTGTGCTGTTGCTCAATACTTAGTAAATCTGTTGTCAGACTATAAACAATTAAAGTTCAATTAATTCTCAATGTCTTATTAGAAATTTATGAAAATGTAAAGGGAGCTTACATCAATAGATATAAACAATTCACCAAAGTTTCATGAGAATTGCTGACAGCATTTTTGAGTTATTGTCTGAAAACTGGAAAATCCCCCCTTTTTTAATGAATAAAACCCCACAACTCAGAAATGTAAAATGTAAAATTTATAAAATTCTAAATGGAGCTTACATCAATAGATATAAACAATTCACCAAAGTTTCATGAAATCTGCTGAAAGCATTTTTGATTTTTGTCCGAAAACTGGAAAATCCCCCTTTTTTATGAATAAAACCCTGTAACTTGGAAACGTAAAATCTAAAATATATAAAAATCAAAAGGGAGCTCAAGTCAATAGATATAAACAATTCACCACAATTTCTTGCAAGTTGGTGAAAACATTCTTGAGTTATTGTCTGAAAACTGGAAAGTCCCCCTTTTTTTAATGAATAAAACCCCATAACTCGGAAACGTAAAATCTAAAATTTATGAAAAACGAAAGGGAGCTCACGTCAATACATATAAACAATTCACCAAAGTTTTATGCAAACTGGTTAAAGAGTTTTTGAGTTAATGTCCGACATGTTGACGACGGACAGACGGACGGATGGACGGACAAAGGTATACCATAATACGTCCTGTAAACGGGCGTATAAAAATCAAACTACAAGTCAAAATTCCTACTTTTGGAAAAAATATCTGGAAAAGAATAATTTCACCAAAAGCATTCTTCATCAATATTGATGCTTTATAGTACAATAGTTACTATGCTCTATTTGCTGTCAAATTGTATTGATTGTACAAATCTGTAAAATGCTGCCATTGACAGTATAAAGCTTTGTTTGTGACATACCAATAGGTTTCCATAGAATTAAATATGATCTCTCAAAAGATAAGGGGTTCATTGAATTTTTACACAGAACTTTACAAATCATGAATAGCTACTAAGAGTTCAAACTCAAGTATTACCAAAAATTAAGCATGTAAAATTGTCATGATGAGTAATGAAAAGAAACAAATATATACCTGATTGAAAGTTACATACATTATACATAAGTGTTAAAGATATGACAAAAATATGTAATACCTATATATTAAGAATATTTAGTCTGTAAAATTGCTATTAAGAGCAATTTTTTCTCCTTCATGATATTTTATCAGTTGCTGAATTATAAAAGCAATTCAATGTTAAAATGATGGAAGTTGATAACATTACAGGCAATATTTTGTATGATAAATTCACTGAAAACAAAATAAAATACAACAACAGTTAACAAATGTGCATATTGAACACTTAGATTTCAAATAAATTTTCATCTTCACACTGCAAAAGAAGTTGTTCTGCATAAATATCAATGGTCAACATTAAAAAAAAAACTTTTGTTTTCTTATTTGTGATGCTAACAATTGCCACTGCCATATTTTTTGTGAGAGTACAATGTGACATATTATTGATAAATATCAGATTAATAAATTAACTGTAATGTAAATTAAGGTTTACAAATGTAGAAATGTGGAGAAGTTAATACCGGTAAGTTATAGCTCAAGCCATTATATTTCTATATGTACAAGGTATAAAAAAAGATCCTATTGGCAACACTGTGTCATATGCTAGAGACAGCAATAAAAATATCTTTTGTACACAAATATATAAAAATATTTCACTACAACAGCAAACAAAGATTAATACAATACATTTTATTGTCATTTACACCATTAAAGACTTCAAATTACATCTAAAATATTTGATAAAATTAGTTATGTCTGTAGCTCTTCCTCATTTGTAAAATAGAAATAAACATAAACTAAACTTCACCAAAAATAATATTTGGATATGATTAATGAAGTAATCAGAACCTTTCTTTAATGATACAACAAACAAATCATTTCCAAAACTCATTCAACATTCAATTTGTGTTGAAGGAAATCATTTCTTTTTATTAAGGACAGTTTCTACCTTTATTCATTGCATTGGTGCCATACTTGTCAATGTTGCTATCCGATGTTTTCTAGTTGCAATCATTTTGAAAAAAAAACTTTAAATTGCGGTTTCCATGTACTTATGAACATCCTGGATCAGAGATGAAAACAAAATGTATTATATAATAGTCACATGATTACCTGTTAATGTGAATCTGAGGTTTTTTTCATTGTTATTCATTCCTTGGTTGTTTAAGATAAAGTCAAAATAATTCTTTATTCTTATTGAAAATAATTTAAGTTGATTGGACAAGAAATCCATAATCCATTGTTGAAATAGTTCAAAAAAAATTCAATCTAACTGATAAGTAAGATATGGTCTGAACATTTTGCCATTAATTTAATGAAAAATACTGCTTATCATATAAATTTTTGACAAGAAAAACAGTTAAAATAACCAAATGAATTTGCTGGAAAGGAGAGGAGAAAATAACTTGAGGCTTTAGAAAAGTATTGTATATGTTTTGGTTTCAGGCGAAGTGATTCACCTTTGTTTGTTTCATAAACAGAAAAGAGTATACCTAAATGAAATTTAATACCGGTCTTAGTAAAAATACTTAATACTGAATTGTGGAATGCAACAGGTTAAAATTTAAATGAATTTAATGACATTAAATCAGAAATTATTCAGGAATCGACTATCTTACTTTAGCCTTAGACAATAAAAAAAACCCAGAAATTTAAAATTTAAAATTGATATAAATTACAAATGAATATTGATTTATGATACAGGATATCTTTCTGGCTGTCAAGTGGAAGTTACTCATTGTATTAATAATAAGCTTCTGCATCTTATCTTGCACTTTTTTAAAAAAGGGGGGACACTTGCATGCATGTGTATTGAGTGGGAAATAAAACAAATGTTCTACCTATTAAATTCTTTTTTGAACAAAATTTTCTTGAAATTTTAATTTTAAAATAGCGTATTCTGAAACATCATTCAAAAGAGGAAGTAAGTCACCTGATCTTAATCAACATTTTATGTGAGGTGTGGTTGGAATTATACACAAGGTCGAAAAACAATGAATATACACAAACAGCCTTTTAAGCGCTTCTGTGCTTTGATTTCATATTTTTATTTCTAGAAAAGACATTAAATCTTGGGAATTTGAAATGTAAAATGTTTCTTTACATGGCAAAAATTTTAATTTAAGGGAAAAAAATAGTTTGACAATTGTTGGGCAGAATATAGAAGAATGGACTTTTTTTTATAAAAGGTACCTTTTCAAGTTTTGAATTAATTGGCTTTAAAGATCCCATATTTGGAATGTTACAATAATCATGCTTAAAAGGACTTATATTGCAACAAAATATCTAATATATGACCTTGAAGAAACTAACTTCTTATAACCTAATACATGTACTACTACAGGTATATGACTAATGATGGTAAGAAATGAAAAAGTTTAATTAGCCCTGTAAATTCATCCCAAAGTCTTTTTTAACTGTACTTATCTAATCAATCTAACAAATGGGGGTATACCTAACAAGAGAGCAATTAAACAATCCCCCTTGAAGATACATATTCTATCATTTATTTAAAGTGACTGATTTTCCAGTTAAGCCAAATTATAACAATAAAGTAGATAGTTGGCATTTTTTAGTGTCCGAAACATTTATTATCCTACTACAATATTGCTGCTAGATTTTCTAAGGTGTGTTATTACAGAATGTAGGATAGAAAGTCACAGGACAAAAAGTCACAATTCAGTTTTGAGATTATTTGTCTTTGAAAAAGAATACACTTATTTTTAAAAACATGTATTTTAATTTTCTAATATTATGTATAAAGCAGCTCTGTAAACAAAATGGATTCTGATAAATTCAATAACGATCATATAATTGTTAAGAAACCAATTTGTCAAAGTGACTTGGTACTTAAATGGCTTCATTGTGTCAAAAAATGTATCCTTTGCATGTTTAAATTTTGATAAATCTACATTTATCAAGGCTTATGAACAATTTCCTTAACTGTTAAATGAATATATGTAATACAAAGAAATTATTTCCAGAACTTTCTCTTATATATTAAAACAATTTTAAACAAATTATTTGTGACTTTTTGTCCTGTGACTCTCTGTCTGTTTACCATTATTACATGACATAATATCCTTATTACTATGGATTCATTACAGTTATTGGGATACCAATTTTTTGTGAATAACAATGAACCAGAGATTTAAATATTCGCCTAGATACAAGTTTTCTATAGACTTTCTATAGACATTGACAAAACCATGAAATCAAATATCCACAACAATGCAATTTTTTTCTCAATTTCTCGAAAATTGGAAACCTAAGAAAATCAATGAATCCACAGTACATGAGATTTCATGTTAGTCAATGCTAGGAAGCAAAATACAAATTTAAATCACCCTCTTTTTAAAGTGTTCATTGAGATATAATTGATGATGACAGTTATACAATACTGAAAGACATGATATATCTACACAATAGAGACAACCTCATTCTATTTTTGCATTTCATATGTGCTAGAAAATTTCCCCATCATTGACATGTGATTGGAGGTAGCTTTCTCCCATACCAGCTCTTGATCCATGGTATGAGAATTGTTCAAAGTAAGGAAGTTCACTTTCCTCTGCTATGGAACTGAGCTCTACATGACTTTCTTTAGAGTTAGGTGTCAAGGACAGAGGAACCTGGGCAAACTCATCAGGTATGTATTTTGTGTCATAGTCATTTTTGACGTCTGGCTTCCAAGGTGGTGTTATCTGAAATAAGAAAATAAAGGAATACAATCTGAAATCATTAGGTACTTAACATGACGAAAAGCTAATTTTTCCTTGGTTTTGACAGGAATTTTATTTCAATTTATTATCTTTTATAATGGTAAATTTTTGTTAATATTAAGATCTGCAAGTCCTTACAAAATAAACTATTATCACAGAGATATGTCTCGCCTTTTTGTAATTTTGATAATGCAAATGTTGAAATTAAAATAGCAATACTTTAACATGTAAGTTATGCAAATATTCAAAGTTGATGAACCATGACTGAAGGTACATGGCTAAACAATCTCCATGGAATGAGATGTGCCAATGCTAATACAAGTGCATACCAAATACCATTGACTTATTATAAGTCCTTCCCTTTAAACAAATCTAAACACAAACATTAACTTGTAAACTATGTAAAAGTTTCAAAGTCAATGAACCATGATCAGGGGTGGGGCTATATAATCTCCATGGAAACGATACTTGCAAATGCCAATAAATTTGCACACCAAATATCATTGACTTAACATTAGCAGTTCATCTTAAACTGATCTAATCACAAACTAATACATGTTAACTAAGCAAAAGTTTCAAAGTAAATCGACCATGACTGAGGGGACGGGGACAAATATTCTCCATGGAAATGAGATGTGCTAATGCTTATACAACTGAACACTAATTAACATTGGCCTACCACTAATGGTTCCCCTTGAACTGACCTAATCACAAACTAATACATGTTAACTTAATTAGCAAAATTTTCAAAAACCGCTACAGCAGGGGCATAAAAATGTTTATATCATGTCATTTTTAAACCAAATTGTGTGGAAAAGTTTTACAGAAATCTCTATTTAAAGTGAAAAATATCTTTTTTATTAATGCATAATAAACCATTTATAGATCTAATTCACACATTTTAAATGATTGCATCTCTGGAAGTATAAAATGCTACATATACTAATTTTTTTACGATAGTCAGATGTAGGTTAATGAAAATTATATAGACAAAATAAGAAAAATGCAAAATACCACCATATAAAAATAATATGTGGTATATTGCATATGAGAGACAACTACCCATCCGAGTTCAAACGCTATGGATATAATCAAAATTATAGGTCACCGATATGGCCTTCAACAATGAGAAAACCAAAACCATATAGTCAGCATGAATAATATAGAAAAAATTTAATTCAAATGAGAAAACAACAGCCTTATTTATAACAATACAATTTAGGAAAAACAAATATTACAGAAATAGCTTATTTGACTAGTTCTAAACTTCTACCATTCAGATAACTCTTTTCTGCACTAATTTATGTCTTTATTCAGTACCTGTGACCTTAACCTACAATGTTCTGAACCTAAACTCATTCAAGATGGTTCTTATAATTGGGAAAGAAATAAAACCTTTCATGAGAACCAGTAGGTGTTTGTCAGAGTATTTAAATTCTTGGCGAGTGAACTGTCCAGTTGAATAAATACTGGTATATTACTTTTTTATTCAATGGGACAATTATTAAGTCTTTATCCTGACCTACCCCAACTGATTCTCATCAAAGATTTGATTTTCTAAACAGTACATCACCAGAAATCAAAGTTTGGTTATAATCCCAAGTAGTATCATCTGAAAAACCCTTTTAACATTGATTTTGGGTCAAATTTTAATATCAGGGACTTTGACTGTGGACATATTACCTCATTATAGATAGGGATCTTCCTCTTGTTATAGGAGTCATCATGTGTAAACCAACACATCTTTTGTAGGGTACATAAGTGACCCATTATAAGGTGAAAGTTATATTCATATGAAATACACCTTTTTTTCCTAGTGGCAATCAGAATTTTACTAATAAAAATATAATCTATCACTCATCTGGTAACCCACATTACATTACGAACAAACAATAAATCTATGATAAAATCTTCAATGTTTCTACTGGTAATGTAAAATTATAAAACCAACACTCTGTAAATTCACTCCTTCCTTGCATCAGACAAGAAAACATCTGACAAATATAGGCTAGCTACTGAAGGTTTTCTTTTCATCAATCCTGTTAATTTCAAAAACAAGTGACTACCTGATACGTTTCAATAGAAATAACAGCCTTCCAATATCCCCTGCTGTGCACATATTTATTTATTTGTCCAATGGCAATAATTACATTTTTTTTTATGTAGGCATGAGATCGAAAACAATGTTATTTTCCATTTCCAAGGGTATAAATAGCTGATACAAACTTTGATATTAATTGCATATAAATTCTACAAGAAATGCAGGTGTCGGAGTCCTTACAATGCAAATTTCAATACAAAATATTTCAAAAGGACACTGATGATGTAAAAATATTTGATCTAATCCACATAATAGGATCGTTTCTAGAAGGACTTTAAATCACCAATCTTAATTACGACCATAGTCAAAATTGCCTCTGGCGGCTACTTTTTCATCAGATAAGAACCAAATTTTTATTTAAGACCTTTCGTGAATTATTCCTGCAATTTTTGGATTAACTTGGCCTGATGTTTTCAGAGGAGATGATAAGTGTAAAATATCAAACAACAGATGGAAAACTATGGCTCAAATGGCCTCTATGTTTTTATATTTTATGTTTTTGGGTTGCTGACTCATTAATGTTAATACCACACATCTTGTAATTTATAGTTATTAATTGGAATAAATAAAATGATGTCAATTTATGAAGCAGATCATTTAATCAACATTAGTGGACATTATTTGTTTTACATTGCACTGCAGAATGACTCTGATAAAAATAACAATAATGTCATATCAATGAACGTTCAAATCATTCCTGTGATTATAAAGACATATAAAATTAAGTCTAACGATGCAAAATAAAACTTTTACAAATTTAATCTCAATAAAGAAATTGAACAGTTGTTTGTGAGACTATCACTCTTAACATTCTCATTTCTCTCTTTACATAATTAATAATTTCATCTGGAAAAAGTCATTAGGTTTTTCTTTAAAAAATAAAAATCTTTGTATAACATAGTCATGCGTTCTAAATCATTTAACATAACTTTCATCAGTTAATTATAATTTTAATGATTGTGTCATCTTCAATAGATTTCTTGGCTCAAATCTTAATTTTGTTCCATAATTATTTCAGGTAAAATGTTTTCCACAAACATATAATTTTTCACATGGTCAATCATCAAGGGTTTAAAAAAAAAATAAACATGCCATTATGATTGTTATACAAGCAAATTAATTAGAATTAATCAGGGAAACTTAATTTTGATTGACAATTAAAAAAAATACAGCTTGAATATATGAAGCAGTATTTGAACTTAAAAATAATGTTTTCTTTTCCAATGATTTTCTTCCACATTGAACTTCGACACATAGGGGTTAATCTATTTTCATTTTTCTTCATGGGAACTCTGAAATATACCAACTTAACAGAGATTTTGAATCAACCAAGTTCAACTCATCAGAAAAAGAAATGCATTGAACAAACTCGGATTGAAATATTAAATAATCTCATCTGAGATAATAACACAACCCTGTTCTACTCAACAAGGTTGAACTGTAAATACCAAATAGCAGTCCATACTGTTCTGTAAGGAACTTTGTGACTTTTTACAAAATGGTTCTTAAAAGATTTTTAAATTGTTAAGTTCTGGTAGTTAAATATGTGATCATATAGCTAAGAATGAAGGAAAATGCTGGCCATATGCCTACCAGGTTCTATTTTAATTATTTCTACTCATTTGAACATTTTTATCCCAAAATTGTGCTTCATAAACCAGAAATGGACCAAAATCATAGTTTTGAATTCTTTCATATTCCTAAGTTTCAAGTAACGTAATTAAGTTCAGCACTAGCAGACACAATAAAGTTGTTTAATTGCTAATAATAACTATTCTCAGCCACTAAGTTACAAAAAAACTATCATCATTCATACACTTGGTTTGAAGTGAATCAGTTTTTTTCATATTTTACAAATGTTCAAACTAGATGTATTCCCTGTCAATGCAAATCTTATATAAAGATAATGTTTTGATGTGCATAAGCTTTTAAGAATTTAAATTAACCATCTATTTTACCCAAAATGTATGATGCACTTATGAAGTCTAAATTATTGTCAGACCACACACACACACTGCACCATTTTCATTCAATTTCTTTGTATAGACAGGGAATTAAAATAAAGTCCTTAATTAGAAAATGGACTATAACCAGCATTTTTCTTTTGCTGATCAGCATCAAAACAACCATACAAACAAAGCAGCTAAATATTTTCTACAAGCATCAATGTAAAAATATTTCCTGTATTGGCACTTTTTCAGAATCAAATTCTTAGAACATGGATAGGTAACCAAAAACTATTATAAACCAGTATCAATCAATTAAGAATCAGTAAAATAAATATAAATGTGACTCAATCACTGTTGTTATATAAGCATTGTTACAAAAGAAATGGCAGAATTACATGCATTTAAAGCAATCAATATAATATTAAAATGAGTACAAAAAGATAAAATCTTTAAAAACATTTTCGATCCAGCGAAATGTCACAATAATTGTAATTAATATTGATAGTGGTAACAAACAGTAAAATTAAAGACACACTATAACATATCTGAAAGATAAATTTAACTGAGAAAAAAAAGTAGAAATTGTTTTTATTGCGAAAACGAAAATGATGAATGCAAAATATTATTAATAACACTCAAGTTTATTCATATTTTTTTTGTAAAATTTTGAATGAAATTTTTTTCCTGAACAGAAACTTAGATTTTACATTACAAGACACAATGAAGAATGTATACCTTGAATATAATTACAATACATATATACATAAAAAGACTGAAAACTTTCAGCAAATATGTCTTCTAAAATGAAAAAATAAAAATAACATAACTTTACTGCTATTTTGTCTCTCTCAAAATATAGTCGTTAAACAAAATAGCTGTGACAAAAAAAAAATTCTTTGTATCAGAACAACTTTAAACAATAATGCAGATGT